GTTTCGCTCTACGGAGGCGGCTGATGGAGGTTTCGATGGTTGATGGGCGAATGGCTGCCTAGAGGGCGGTGATGGAGGTTTCGGCTGCTAGGAGGCGGTGTTGGTGTTTCGCTCTAGGAGGAAGGGATTGGAGCGTTTTCGCTCTAGGGAGGCGGTGATGGAGTCAGGGGCTTCAGTTCAGCTCTTCATCGGCGGCGCGGGAGGTCAGGGCGCCGGCGTCGCGGCGGTCGTACCGTCGTTCCCCAGAGGAGCGGAGACCAGGAGGAGTTTGGTGGCCGGAAGAGGAGCAACGCTGGCGGCTTCGGCATGAGCTGGTGGGCCGTCATCGCTGTCAGCGGCGGGATGGTAAACATCCGGCGGTGGAGCTTCGGCGAAACAGCGATCCTTTCCAGGTGCAGTTCATCCAGGCATCTAGCCGGCGCTGGATTCGGAGGACAGGTGAGGAGGAGGGCCGGTGGCTTTCTTGGGGAGCAGGCCTGATTCCAAGGGTATGATTCAAGGAGCCAGGGTGCTGAGTACAGGTAGGATGAGCTGGTGACTTCGAGGAGCAGGCGGATCAGTGGATTCTCAGGCGCAGAGTGGCTGAACTTGGCTGCGGAGCACGCGAGCGCCCGAGTTTTCTTCACCACGACCAGATACGGACCGCATGCTAGCGAGGCGGACTAAGAAGGAAGGGAGACAGGAGCACAGTCCTGACCTTCTCCCGTCACGGAACGCCACGGCTCCCCTGTTCAGCAGAGACACCGCAATGCCAGCAGAGACGGCGAAAGAAGACTCGCGATCCGAGTACAAAATACAGGTAAATGTCTGCAGCCGCATCATTGTCTACTGGTGGCTCAGGCTATCTAAATTGTCGTTGATAAAACGCGTAGAATTACGTGACAGTATCTTAATGATTGTATACTGCGACGGCATTCTAAGCATTAGCCGCCTGCTGCATCTAGTACAATCTTGCGTAGTGTAATAGATACAGCTTTAATTAGCGACAGCACAGAATATTTCGCATTTTGCTTTATTGAAATCGTGTAGTTTAACAAAAAAGGCATTCTCTACTTATCAGAGAGGACACGAGTACCAAGCCAAAGACGCCTGTACAACCTAAGATAATTGAGGAGGCCGCGTCTGGGGATTCGCTGACGTCGAACGTTTGTCTATAGAGGCGGAGGCGGTGTGGGCTGGTGGCGCCATGCGGTGTGGCAGCACGGCGGTGCAGCTCGGCGGTTGGCGCCATCGGTGGTGGCAGCATCGGCGGTGGCCGCTTCAGCGGTGGCGCAAATCGGTGGTGGACAGCATGCGGCGGTGGTCAATGCGTTGGTGTCCTGGAGGCCGTACCAGTGGAGGTTACGGCGGACAGCAGGGTGGATACTAGTAAAATAAAGATTGACAGTGGCACAGGAGGCAAGAGCGAAATTGAAACGTAGTTCCTCTAAACTTATGGCGATATGGCCACGAAAAAAGTTTACCCTGTCTAATTGATTTTGAATTTAGTTTGACGTTGATTGATATAACCATTTATTATTGTATTAGGTACAAAATACAGGCAGCAGCGTTGATTAATTTATGCTAACGTTAATTCTCAAAACTTTTACCAGAATTACTCATATCAGCCTGCATTACAGTCATTTCTTTCAGCGCTGGTGTCTAAATATCATATTTATATAATATATACTAAATAAGATAAATAAATAAATAAACAAATAAACAAATAAACAATATAATAATAAATAAATAAATAATAAATAAATTAATATATAACCTATATATATTATATTATAATATATACTCGAAGTTCATATCAAGCAACGACTTTGCCACGTGGTCGCCACCTATCGACAGAATAATCATGTAAATGTCAACGTGTGAACGCTACAGTAGCAGTTGCTAGCTCCGCGTCCTAACAGTGTGATATCGATTAGACTCGTTACAATAACTACTACTATTGCACCTGTATTGCGGCAGAAAATAGGCGTTTGCGCGAAGCATTGTATTGTTATATTTACAATCTGTACGTTACGTAGACCTTCTTTGCAATAGACTTAAATAACCACTATAGATACGCTGTTTAATTTCACTTGAATATGGCCGGCGACTTTGTTACAATTGCTTAATCACTGGTATATAGTTATCTTTTCTTCGGCAAGATCACTTATTATTATTGACGTTCCAAATGTCTCGAACGTGAATTGACCGAAATAAACAACAACCCGTCCCAGTTTACTCCAAAATCTCTTTCCTATTACGAAAGGTTTAATTTCATTTAAATGTTTTGGCGAGTAGATAAACTCCCCTTGTGAATGTGATTGCGCGAGAGAACGATCTCAGACAGAGCCGCTCCTCGGTTGATTACGTACGGTCTCAGCTTTCTACGATAATAGCCAGCATAAATAACTTCTATGAGATGATCGGTTGAGTAAGCATGACAGTGGGAAAACATGTGTAAACCAACATGGCGTACGTCCAAAATGAGGCGTAAATCGTGGCAGTGCCTATAAGAAACGGGCCCATGATCGAGAGTTCAAATATATAAATAAAACCAAGAGCGTATAAAGAAGGTTCTTTATACGCTCTTGATAAAATACATCTCGCCTTTGTGCTGAAACTACTGAGCGAATGTAATGCGAGCAACCCCCTATAAAATATCTCGTGTGCGTATTTCTTCCCATTATGTAGATTATAAGCCACTATGCCGCGCTTTCCCATGTCGTAGTAGACATTCGTGTATTGTGTGATAGAGATAGAGAGAGAGAGAGAGAGAGAGAGAGAGATGAGAGATGAGTAGAGAGAGAGAGAGAGAGAGAGAGAGAGAGAGAGAGAGAGAGAGAGAGCGGGGTTGGGAGTCCACACGTGAAGGTGGTTAGACGACGTCTATAGACTCTATACCGCTCAGTGAAAACTTGGTCTGCCCTTCTCGGCGTTTAATCGTCTCGTAAAAACACTCGTTGTTAACACATAACCGGATCAGTTCTACGACCCCCATCGGTCGCCTGGAGAAGCAAACAGACATACATACAACACACATAAACAGGCACACACGCACGCACACACACATACACACACACACACACACACAGCACACACATACACACAGCACACAACACAGCACAGCACACACACAAGCACACACATGCACACACACACGACAACCCACACGTCACCCATACGACACACACACACACGACACGACACAACACGCACGCACACAGCACGCACCAACACACACACACACACACACACACCACTACACACACACAACACACATCACACACACAGCGAACACACACACACCACACACAGCGCACAGATTTAAACATTCACTGATTTCCGTGATAAGTATTTCTCCAAGGCTCATATTTAGGCGAAACCCGGACCCCCCCCCCCTCGTTTAAAAAAAACCTACATGCTAAGGCCCACCGGCCGCATCGGACATCGCCCACGACCTGCAGTATTATTCATAGATGCATTAATCAAGCACGCGTTGGCAAATATTGGTCTCATCTGAAAGCGAATACACGCGAGCATTCGCTTATGCGGAGAGAATCGCGCTGGGTAGAGACTCTTATTACTGTCGATGACGCGATGAGGTATGCGTGTCAGACGGGTGTCCGTCATCGTATATATACGTGTAGCAGGCCGCAGCAGTGTTGCATCCACAGTCCCGACGTAGAGAAGTGAAAGCGACAGAGATCAACGCTCAGTCAGGTAACACATTCGCTGCTTCTGCTTTCTTTTTCTTATTATTGTTCTTGCTTCTTCGTCTTCGTCTTCTTTGCTTTTTCCTTTTTCTTTTCCTCTCTTCGTCTTTTTTCGTCGTCTTCTTCTACGTCTTCTTATCTTTGTCGTCGTTTCTCTTCTTCTTCTTCTTCTTCTTCTTCTTCTGTCTTCTTCTTCTTCTTCTTCTTCTTCGTCTTCCTTCTTCACATTTCCCTTCTTCTTCTTCTTCTTCTTCTCCTTCTTCCGTCTTCCTCAATATTCTTCTTCTTGCTTTTCCTCTCTTTTTCTTCTTCTTGCTTATTCTTTTTCTTCCTTCTTTCTTCTTCTTCTTCCTCCTTGCTTTTTTTTTTCTTCGTTTTCGTCTTCTTCTTTTTCTTCAACTTCTTCTTCTCCCTTCTCTTCTTTTTCTTCCTTCTCTTTTCCCTTCTCTTCTTTTTCTTTTTCTTCTTCTTCTTTCTTCTTTGTCGTCGTCGTCGTGTCCATCGTCGTCGTCTTCTTCTTCTTCTTTGTCTTCTTCTTCTTCTTCTTCTTCTTCTTCTTCTTCTTCTTCTTCTTGTTGTTATAATTAATATTTATTTAATTTAGACAGCAGCTGAACTATCGTCACCGTCTTCGTTGTTATGTTGCAGATCAAGATGAAGTTTACCATTGCCGTCTTACTGGTTGGGTTGGTCAGTGTTCGTGCACACGATAGCGGGGTAAGTCAGCTGATGACTAATGCTTGAGTGAAATAGACATGTAATGACGTGCATAACAGATAATGATGACATCATCATCACCGAGGAGTAAGAATGTAATGACGTGCATAACACGTAGTAATTATCATCATCATTGGTAAGAAGGACATGTAATAACATGCATGGCATGTAATATTATCATAATGACATCATGGCATCTAGCATTGCCATCACTGGCAAGAGAAACACGCCATATCACGTACGCCATGAACTGCGAGTATGAGCTTCTACCATTGATTTTGGTATACCCTAAGTTCAGAGAGATGATCATACGAGAGATGTGAAGATTCATCCTCACACAAGTGAAACTTGTTCGCGTTGGTGTTCACGTTAGTTTCAGAGCGCGGTCGTGGAACCATCGTTGAAATGGTACACCTCGCGCTAATAGTTTTGCTGGAAGTCTTGCGAAGGTGATTTGACTTGTTGCTGTTTGCGTTGGACTACGTGGGGTGTATTTCGCTGCACCTGCGTCGTCATTTACGCATCACTGTTCTGTGTTTTGCAGCAAAAACATACACATACAGAAGGCAGTTATAGGAGCAGCTCCGGCAATGGCAATGGGAACTATCATTCCAGAGGAGAGGGTGAGGTTGGGGGTGGTTCCTACCAATCAGGAGGTGGTCAGATCGGAGGAGGCCAGATCGGTGGTGGATCCTTCCAAGTTGGAGGTCGATCTCTCGGCGGTGGATCCCTTGGTGGTGGATCCTTCCAAGTTGGAGGTGGATCTCTCGGTGGTGGATCTCTCGGTGGTGGATCCTTCCAAGTTGGAGGTGGATCTCTCGGTGGCGGATCCTTCCAAGTTGGAGGTGGATCTGTCGGTGGCGGATCTTTCGGAGGCGGCAGCGTGGGTAGAGGCCAGCAACAGGTGACCGGAGGCCCGGAGTTCTTCACCACGACCAGATACGGACCCATCGCTAGCGGCGGACTGAGAGGAAGCGGAGACAGGAGCAGCAGCCTGACCTTCTCCAGGACCGGTACCGCCACCGGCTCCCTGTTCAGCAGAGACACCACCGATGCCACAGAGACGGCGAAGAAGACTCGCGGATACGAGTACAAATACAGGTAATGTCTGCATCGCATCATTGTCTACTAGTGGCTCAGGCTATCTAAATGTTGTTGCAAAACGCGTATAATTACGTGACAGTATCTTATGATTTATAACTGCGACAATTCTAGCATTAGCTGCCTGCTGCTATCTAGTATAATCTCGTAGTGTAATAGATACAGCTTTAATTAGCGACAGCACAGAATATTTCCATCTTGCTTTACTGAAATCGTGTAGTTTACAAAGCATTCTCTACTTTCAGAGAGGGACACGAGTACACGCAGCCAAAGACTCTGTACAACTATGATATCGAGGAGCCCGTCTGGGGATTCGCTGACGTCGACGTTGTCTATAGAGGCGAGGGCGGTGGTGCTGGTGGCGCCATCGGTGGTGGCAGCATCGGCGGTGGCAGCTCCGGCGGTGGCGCCATCGGTGGTGGCAGCATCGGCGGTGGCAGCTCCGGCGGTGGCGCAATCGGTGGTGGAAGCATCGGCGATGGTCAACAGGTCGTGTCTGGAGACCGTACCAGTGGAGGTCACGGCGGACACTCATACCGGCAATACTAGTAAAATGGAAGATTGATAGTGGCACAGGAGCAGAGCGAATTAAAAGTAGTCTCTAAATTATAGCGATATCCACGAAAAAGGTTTACCCTGTCTTAATTGATTTTAATTTAAGTTGAAGTTATTGGATATAAGCATTTATTATTGTATTAGAGTACAATACAGGCAAGCGTTGATTAATTATGCAACTTAATTCTCAAAACTTTTACCAGAATTTACTTCATATCAGCCTCATTTAGTCATTTTCTTTCAGCCTGGTGTCTATATATATTTATATATATATACTAAATAAATAAATAAATAAATATATATATATATATATATATATATATATATATATATATATATATATATATCTAATATATATTTGAGTTCGTATGTATGTATGTATGTATGTATGTATCTTCCCTATAGGCGGTCAAACCGCCCAAGCGATCTGGATGCAATTTTCACAGGGCCCATCTCTTATACCCCGGGCGTGTTCGGTAGCTGAAAAAAACCTGTCAAACCGTCAACTCGCCGAAAAAATGCCGTGAAAAACCCCTCAATTGCGCAAGTCTCACACAATGTCAGCAACAGCCTATGACTATTGATTTTCTTGCCCTCACCTCATGATCTCATCAGCTGCTGGTATTGTGAAACCGAAACCGAAATCGAAACTAAAACAGAGCATAACACAGACGCAGTTCAGAGGTACTACTCACTCTCAGTTAAGAGTTTCGGTTCAGAATGCTACGATCTGAGAATGCATTGTACCATTCCAAAGCTATGCATTTTCTGATTCAATACAAAAATTTCTTAATTTCAATGTGCATGGTTGCACGCCAAGCATTCACTAGACAATATCCAGTGGACAACAGCCCCCACTCGCTGCCTGTCTCTATCTATACTATATATGGAATTTCTTTTATTCGGCGTACGATCTCACGAATGGATAGCTGTGTACGTGGGAGCTTAACAGTTGGATACGCCACGAATCTCTACATACTTGCACAGAGAATACCACGAAAACATTGTTTATCAAGAGTCTTTGAAACGAAAAGTCCAACCCATTCGTACATGCTGTTATATAACAATAGCTTTTTGTCATTTACTCCATATTACTGCTCAGAGGGTCTGTGTCCCCCCCCCGGGATACTGCGGGAACGTACCCTGGTTACGGTGGGGTATACCGGAACGTACCCTGGTACTATCTAATATGCCGGACCGTACCTGCGCCTACTCCACTAACGCAGTCTAGGGAGTCGCTACGCGCTACTCGCCTAACCCCAACCCGAACCCTAACCCTAACCATATCAATAGCCACCAGGGTACGTTTCGCGGTATACCTGGGGGACCATAGAGCCCTATGAGCCATATTACTATTAATATTATGTCTGCAGTGTTTCTAAGTTGGTTGTGCTGTCATATAAATGTCATACGTAACAGTTTTTCCCAATTCTATTATCTTATTAGACCGATTTCTAATATTGATATTGGGTGGCAATGTCATTGTCGATGTTACCCAATGTTCCTACTGTGTCCGCATTATTAGTATAGTAGTATGTATTAGTAGCACGATTTTACCCAGCGCAGCGGTACCCGCAGCTAGTAATATATATATATATATAATATATATTCGCAAGTTCATATCCAACGCAACGACTTTCACGTGTCGCCACCTATCGACCAGATAACATGTAAACTAACGTGTGAACCTACAGTACAGTTTCGTTAATGTAGAGTTGGACGAAGCTCTAAGTACCCACAGCATGTGGAAGCTCTCCTAACCTTTGTTGAACCCGTGTAGCTTAAACAACAGAGATTAATTGCCGTGTTCATGTTCATGCAGAGAGGGACACGAGTACACTCAGCCCAGGACCCTGTACAACTACGACATTGAGGAGCCCGTCTGGGGATTCGCTGACAGCGACGTTGTCTATAGACGCGAGGGGTGGCGAGGGCGGTGATCGACTTTAAAGTGGCTCTAGTTACGTACTAGACGTAGCTGTCGTCATCGTCGTCGTCGTCATCGTCGTCGTCGTCGTCGTCGTCGTCGTCGTCGTCTCGTCAGCGACGTCGTCGTCGTTCGCTCGCCGTCGTCGTCGTCGTCGTCGTCGTCGTCGTCGTCGTCGTCGTCGTCGTCGTCGTCGTCGTCGTCGTCGTCGTCGTCGTTGTCGGCGTTGTTGTTGTTGTTGCTGTTATTCACTTAATTGTGTAGGATTGCCATAATTAATACTGATGTTATTAGCAGTAGTGTAGTTGTTGTTGTTGAGGATGACGTATTTGGTGATATTGATGGTTGCGGTGACGCGGCCATTGGTGGCGGTGTCGTAGTAAACAGTCGACCGTAGTAACGATGGTGACGTATCACATAGCAACTAAACCGGATCCTTCCGGTTGTTGCCATGGTAGCTGGTTGCCGCTAGCTACGCGTCTAACAAGTGTGATATCGATTTACTCGTTACAATAACTACTACTAGTTGCAAATGTATTGCGCGAAAATCAGTGCGTCTGCGCGAAGCATTGTATTGTTATATTTAAATCTGTACGTTACGTAGACTTGTTGTGCATAGACTTATAACCACTATAGATACCTGTTTAATTTACTTGATGATGGCCCGACTTTGTCACAATTGCTTAATCACTTGTATATAGTTCATCTTTCTTCGGAGATCACTTATATTATTGACGTTCCAATCGTCTCGAACGTAATATGACGAAATAAACACAAACCGTCAGTTACTCCAAAATCCCTTTCCTATTACGAGAGTTTAATTTCATTTGAATGTTATGGCAAGTAGGTGAACTCCGTTGTGAATGTGTTCGCGAGAGAACGATCTCAGACAGAGTCCCTCCTCGTTGATACGTACGTCTCAGCTTTCTACGATATAGCCAGCAATAAAAACTTCTATGAAATATCGCGTTGAGTAAGCATGCAGTGGGAAAACATGTGTAACAACATGGAGTACGTCCAAAAATGAGGCGTAATCGTGGCAGTGCCTATAAGAAACGGGCCCATGATCATGAGTTCAAATATATAAATAAAATCCAGATGAGACGGAATACTAGAGAAGCGTTGCCAAAAGGAGGTGTTGATCCGAAGCGCTAAGCGCAGATCATGCGCGCAGTTCCGCGGCAAGGCGCACGCGACCGCAGGAACGTCCAACGACAGTATGCAGCGCTGGCAGCTATGGATCCGTGCGCCGAATGCATTGGCCGGCGCACGTATCCATAGCTGCCAGCGAACAGTCCGCAATTTTAGTGGGGGACACAGAGGGTAGACATTTGGGACGTGAACAGTGTTCACTTGTTATAAAACATAAAGTCTCTGTTCGTAACCGAGCTGTGTGACGAAATTCTCGCGTTCGCGAACCTTGCCCAGTAATGGAAATGGCTGCAAGGACAAAGGCTATATAGACTGGGTCTCGCTCCCACTTCGATTACCCATTGAGTGACTAAGCTAAGCCGAGAACACGTGGCAATACATGCACAAACGCGCACAAACACATACATCGCAATACATCGTATTATATGTTAGGACTCTAGGCCATAGGCAGTAAAAATAACCTGTATATAAATATAATTGGAACATTCAGGGTTTATTCAATTCTGTATTACATGAGCCATTATGAATTAGTGGGTTAATTTACGGTCCCAGTACACTGTCACTTACTAACCTTAGCTATCAGTCTATGGATCAGTATACAGCAACTGCCGTACACTACAACTCCTTGCAAGTACAACTTCCCGTCACTATGATAGTAATGTAAATAACCCGACAAAACTGTACATATCAGTGTATAACTGCAAGTCTGCACTGCAAGATCAAGGCTGCACTGCAAGATCATAGATTCGACATAACACGGCTACCGACCACCGCCCGGTATGTAAACAAATTTGTAAAGCTGCATCTACGCTTGTTACATACTTATTTATAGTCGTTAGTCTGCCCATAACAAAATTCGGCTTTCTTTTTAATTAGATGACCTTCCGATGAAAAAAATTTCAGTCGCGGCTTGTCATTATTTAACAAATCAAACGACGAACAATAAGAAGCTTTTCCATGGTTATAACATGGACGCCATGCTATCAATCCATGTATATATAGACTGGTACCCGGTCAACAGTTCCACACGCTACACTACGTGAGTGTAGCAATATGCTGGAGTAAAGGTGGCGAACGGGTACCAGTCTACTATGCCTATAGCCTCGGTGTTCGTTGCGCCGTCTATCGCACGCCATATGTACTACACTGATCAACGAAAACAAACAAACAACAGAGTTCAACTGCGTTTTTTACACGAAACCAAGTGTAATTTCGCTATTACTTGTCTCAGTTCAGTGTGATACGTCGGGAGATGCCCGACTGTATGTAGGCACGTGATCGTAGGTTAGCTATTGTTTATTCTTCTTGCGTTGTGTTATTAATTGTTCAGCTTGTATCGTGCTTGCGGTGAAGCTTGAAGGAGATGTCAGGTAATGTTCTGCGTTTGGTGCAGCGTCGTGGCGGAGGTAACATCAATGATCAAACACAACTCGATGAGTCGACGTTTTCCCGCCGATAATGAGTTTATTGTCGCGCCACGAGTAGCATCGTGGGCCGAGGAGTGCGAGATAAATGCGGTTTACGCAAACAGTATAGATTTCTTCCCGTCTGTCCGCTTCGTCAGTCTCCTGGAGTCGTCGTCAGTCTTTCCGTCGCGTCTGGTCTTTCGCTGTTATCAACCTCGTCGGGTGATGCGTGCGGTGCACAGCGACGGAGAACGAACACGAACGCACCTACGCCTTGTCTTCTTCCGAGGCAGAATAATACCGTATTGTAGTGACAACTGCCGGTGGTAGTCGATCTTATTTCTGCATGTGCAAGACATTCAGTCTTGCACGTGGCTTGGCTGTCGACTACAGGTGTAGGGATGTAACCAGTGTAAAATTGAAGATCGGACTTTTTACCAAAATCACGTTCTACTCAAGTGTAGATTTTACATGGCGCACGTGCCTGCTGATTCTAAGAAGCTTCCACCCCGGTGTTGCTTCCCAACGAACGATCCGACACAGTGTATCGGTGGTGTTGGCTCCTGGTACACTTTACGCCATTTTGAGTTTTCTGTAATTCCTGTAGAGTTACGCTACTTCTAGCATATGTGAAGCAGCGCCTGGTTACATATTGAGATGGGCCGTGGTTACACTACTCCGCACCGGCAAATATGACTTTCGTGCCTTGGATGGGCGCACAAAGTGGTAGGCTTCCAAAAACCACAGAAACATAATAAAATACAACATTTAACGATGAACGGAGTTAACGAACAGTTCACCATAAAGCTAGAATAACGCGGACATCGAAACAAATTTTTTGTTCATTATGACATACTCGCCTAACAGTGAACCGAGCGCGCCTGCTAACAGTAATAAAAACAATGCGATCGCTATTAGGGGTGTATGAAAACGTCGCTTTTAGTCGCTCGATACGACTTGGAGGAAAAGTGCAGGTAGAGGCGTATTCTGATCGCGCGGGTCTACACAGCAAATATTGTCGAAACGGGTCAGTGAGCGGTTCGAATGAAGAGACGCGCAGAGCATCACACATTTATGCGATTGATCTCAATTGATCGTGATCAATTATCAATCAACTATCAATGGTAGGTCTCAATTATCTCAGATTACTCTATCATGTCGTTCATGCTAGTGATCTGCAGTTCATCGTATCTATCGCTAGGAAGTCATCATCGCTGGGTCAGCGGGCACCAATGTAAGGTTTGCTGGATTACTTGTGCTCATGTTCAGTGTGATTTACGTCGAGAGTGCCAGACTGTATGGTAGGCACGTGTCGTAGGTTAGCTGATTTTTTTATTCTTTCTTGCGTTGTGTTATTAATGGTTCAGGCTTGTATCGTGCTTGCGGTGGAAGTGGAAGGGAGAGTTGTCAGGATTAATGTTCTGTGTTTGATGCAAGGCGTGTGGCGGATAACGATCAAGTGTATTTAAACAGAACTTCCGCATGAGTGGACGTTGTCCGACGCATATAATTTATTGTCGGGCCACAGTACAATCGTGTGCCGAGAGTCCTAGATAAAATGGTTACCGAATAACATATATGATTTCTTCGTCTGTCCGATTCGTCAGTCCTCTAGTCCGTCAGTCAGTCTTTTCAGTCCGTCTGTCTGTTCTTGTGCAACCTTGGGCGTCGGTATTGCCGTGCGGGGCACAGCGATTGAGAAACGACACAACCAACGACCTACCTGTTCCTCTTCCGAGGCAGTCGTTATTTATACAACTGCGCCGGGTGCTACGTTCATTCTTATTTCCTGCATGTGCAAGACCATTCAGTCTGCACGTGCTTAGGCCTGTCACTAAGGTGTAGGCGTTAGTACGGTTAGAGCCATGTAATATTGAAATCGACTTTACCAAATCACGTTCTACTCACGTGTAGATTTTACGGATTGCGGCGACGCTCCTGTATTCTAGGGCTGGTCCACCCCGCGTGTTCTTCCAAACAAACATCCGACACGTATTATCGGCTGGGTGTTGGCTCGCTTACACTTTACATTTTTTAGTTGTTGCTGGTAATTGCTGTTAATTACCTACTCTAACATGATTAAGAGGCGCGTGCGTTCATATTAACGTGGGCGGGTGTTACACAAGCACGCCGAGTAGGCGGAACTTCGAATTAGGAGCATTTCTATTGAAATGTCCGCTACCTGGGTAGTGAAACCCGTGAAGTGCAGATGGCCAGAAATCTCAATTCAGCGAAAGTTTGGTGCTTGCGTTCACTATATGTATAACCGTAGTAAGGGTGATGGGTTGGAGAGGTGAGTGAAGTCGTGGTTGAGTGTTGACGCTGACGCGCGTTTGCGCGCTTGTCGCGCGGATATCCGCTGCCGATCGTCCCAGATGAGGGGGGGGGGGACGGATTACTAGAGAAGCGGTTGGCCGAAAGGAGAATGTTTGATCCGAAGCGCTGCGCGCACATC